AGTTTGCTTGGATGGAAAATCTGTTTGATAAGGTCTTCTTTAAACACCCTGTGACACGCACCATCAAACATCAAAATAACCAGTACGGGACATTGATCATTTACGGAAGTGCTACTCAACTCATGAGCTTTTTCTTTCAGCTCTTGATTTGTCTCTCCGCTGGAATTTTTGTCATCCTGTTGATTATGTTGTGGTTGGTACATTCAACCTATCAAAAACTGATGCACTCGATTCAACCCATGGTCATTACTGTTGAAAGCCTTAATCTTGATACTCAATATCAAGCACGTCTTCCATCATCCCCCATTTATGAATTTCGCGTCATCAGTGGTGCATTTAATAATTTATTAGATAAGGTGCAGCGCACCAATGAAAAGCTACAAAGCGAAAACTCTCAATTATCACATCAAGCATTGCATGATCAGTTAACTGAACTCCCGAATCGTCATTATTTTTACAATATTTTGTTCAATCAATTTGAGCACCCTGAGAAAAACCAGACCGCTCTCTTTTTTATTGACAACAATAACTTTAAAAACATTAATGATGTTTATGGGCACTTAGCAGGTGATGCCGTCCTCAAAGAAATGGCCCAACGTTTGAAAAAGAATGTCAGAAGCCACGATGTGGTTGCGCGCTTAGGTGGTGATGAATTTGCAATTCTGCTTCGTAATATCAAACACTATGATCATTTAGAACTAATTTGCGAGCATTTAATCGAATGCAGTAAAGCACCATTATCTTTTGATCAACATCAGATTCATTTTAGTTTCAGTATTGGCGTTGCTTTCTCAAAATGTGCAACAACACCTGAAGATTTGATTGCTGAAGCAGACAATGCCATGTATAAAGCCAAAAACTTAGCTCAAGGGTGGTATATCACACCTTGCCTAAATCCTGATCAGGAATCCTCATGTTAAAACATCTTTGTAAATTTATGCTTATCGCAGGTCTTATTACTGCTTTATCTGGCTGCCTGAGTTTAGGGCATCTCAACTATAAACAAGCGCGCATGCTGAAGAAACAAGGCTTTACCCTGACCGAAGAAGGCTGGACGCTGAGACTGCCTGAAAAATTATTGTTCGGCTTTGATCAATCCGATATTCAAGCTTCTCAAAAGCCCGCACTCGAAGCGCTTTCTAAACAGTTGCAACAGTATAATTTGAATAAAATTAAAGTGGTTGGACATACAGATAATATTGGTGACCCAAGCTACAACCAAACACTCTCGGAGAAACGCGCATCAACAGTTAGCCAGATTTTTATCGAAACAGGGTTTAAAACTCAAAATATTCAGAGCATGGGTCGCGGTGCATCACAACCTCTGGTAGAAAATAGCAGCGAGGAAAATCGAGCGCTAAATCGTCGCGTGAATATTATTATTATTCCTTAAACGTTTATGTTTTATGTTTAGCCTTCGTGATGAAGGCTTTTTTATGTATTTACTGAATTTTAGGCATAAAAAAACCGCTTAACGCGGTATCTTTATCTCGACCATTTCAATAAATGGTCGGAGCAGTAGGATTCGAACCTACGACCCCCTGGTCCCAAACCAGGTGCACTACCAGGCTGTGCTATGCTCCGATTTCAACTTTTTAAAGTTGGGGTGAATGACGGGATTCGAACCCGCGACAACTGGAATCACAATCCAGGGCTCTACCAACTGAGCTACATCCACCATAACGTGTCGGTTCTTAATACCAAGCTACCTAATGGCGCGCCTGACAGGATTCGAACCTGTGACCATCCGCTTAGAAGGCGGATGCTCTATCCAACTGAGCTACAGGCGCATGACCAATAATACGAGGTATTATGGATAACCTTGCCTTGAAGAATTGGTCGGAGCAGTAGGATTCGAACCTACGACCCCCTGGTCCCAAACCAGGTGCACTACCAGGCTGTGCTATGCTCCGATTCATCTCAGCTTTTGTATCGAACATCTCGTTCGGTACGGTGTGCATTCTAGGCGTGACGCTTGATAACGTCAACACCTATATTTAAAAAAAATAAAAAAATCACGTCAAATGTATATTAATCAAGCGTTTCAGGCATTTTTTATACAAATTTTAACGTTTTAGCGATGCACTGAAATCCAACATGCGATCTAAAGGTAATTTCGCACGCTCAGCAAGTACTGGCTCTACAAATATTTCCTGATCGCCACGCTGTAATACCTCTAAAATACCATCCAGCTCATTCATTGCCATCCACGGACAATGTGCACAAGAACGACAGGTTGCACCCTCTCCGGCTGTTGGTGCTTCAACCAAAATTTTGTTGGGCACCGCTTGTTGCATTTTGTAGAAAATACCCCGATCAGTTGCCACAATCAGTCGTTCATTTGGCAAGGTTTGCGCAGCTTTGATTAGTTGTGACGTACTTCCAACAGCATCAGCAACATCCACCACCGACTCAGGTGACTCAGGATGTACCAGCACCGCAGCATCAGGATAAAGCGCCTTCATTTGCGCAATGCCACGTGCACGGAATTCTTCATGCACAATACATGCACCATCCCAAAGCAACATGTCTGCGCCTGTTTTCTTTTGGATATAACGGCCTAAATGCTGATCAGGCGCCCAAATAATCTTTTCACCTAAACTGTCTAGATGCTCAATAATTTCGACAGCACAACTTGAGGTCACCACCCAATCAGCACGGGCTTTAACGGCTGCTGAAGTGTTGGCATAGACCACTACTGTATGGTCTGGATGGGCATCACAAAACTGACTAAATTCTTCAACAGGACAACCCAAATCTAAAGAACATGTGGCCTCTAAAGTTGGCATCAGAATGGTTTTATTCGGTGATAAAATTTTTGAGGTTTCACCCATAAATTTAACCCCCGCCACCACCAAGGTCGATGCTGGATGATCACGACCAAAACGGGCCATTTCCAATGAATCAGAAACACAGCCACCACTTAACTCCGCCAATTCCTGCACTTCAGGATCGCAATAGTAGTGCGCTACCAATACCGCATCGCGCTTTTTCAACTCGGCTAAGATTAAAGCAAATTTTTCTTGCTTCAGTTCTTCACTGAGCTTTGAGTCTTTGGTTTCACCCAAACGGTCCAAATGCGCCTGCACAATTGATTTTGCGTCATTGGCAATTAAATTGGTCGCATTGTTCATCATTCATTCATCCCTTCATGCTTGTCGGCAAGCAAGTCCCGCACTTAATTTATTGGTCAAATGGCTTCTCGGCTTTTGACCAATCATTCAAAAGATCTTATGGTAAAAAAAGCCTCCAAAGGAGGCTTTTTTACACTTGTGAAGATTAAGAGCGGTAATCCGCATTAATCTTCACATAGTCATAAGATAAGTCACAGGTATACACTGTGTCTTTCGCTGCCCCGCGTCCTAGATCTACACGAATGGTCATTTCAGCTTGTGACATTACACGAGCACCTTCCGCTTCCATGTAATCGGCAGCCGCACCACCATCCTTACAGATTTGCACATCATCTAACCAAACTTGGATTTTTTCAACATCTAAATTTTTAACCCCAGCATAACCAATCGCAGCCAAGATACGTCCCCAGTTCGGATCTGACGCAAAAATCGCAGTTTTAACCAAAGGTGAATGCGCAATACTATAAGCAATATCACAGCATTCTTGCGTGTCATACCCACCTTCAACAGCAACCGTAATAAACTTGGTTGCACCTTCACCATCACGCACAATCAGTTGTGCAAGACGTTTCATCATACGCGTGAGTACATCTAGCACTACGGTATAGCGTGCATCTTGGGTTGAGCTAATTTCAACACCACCCGCTTGACCCGTAGCCGCAAAGATACAGGAGTCATTGGTTGAAGTATCACCATCAATGGTAATTCGGTTGAAAGAAACATTGACCGTTTCGCTCAACAGTTGCTGAACCAACTCGCGGCTGATAGGTGCATCGGTTGCAACATAGCCCAACATCGTTGCCATGTTGGGACGAATCATGCCTGCACCCTTAGAAATACCCGTCATGGTATACGTGACGCCATCCAATTCGAATTGCTCAGATGCACCTTTTGGTGTGGTGTCTGTGGTCATAATCCCGGTAGCAGCAGCATCCCAAGCATCAGTACTCAAACTATTTAATGCAGGCTGTAATCCATTTAACAAACGCTCCAACGGCAATTGTTCACCAATCACCCCTGTTGAAAACGGTAACACTTCCGTTGCTTGCACACTGGTAAGCTCAGCCAATTTTGCACAAGTACGTTCAGCATTCAGCATGCCCGTTTTGCCTGTACCTGCATTGGCATTGCCAGTATTAATAATGAGGTAGCGCGGATTCGCCACTTGTAAGTGCGCTTTTGACACATGCACGGGCGCTGCACAGAATGCATTTTGAGTGAAAACACCCGCAACATTCGTTCCTTCAGCAAATTCGAAAATGACAAGATCACGTCGGTTCTGATAGCGCACATAAGCTTCAGCCGTTCCGATTCTCACCCCTTTCACCACGTGCATTTGTGGCATTGATACGTCACCTACTGGCATTTTAAACGTCCAATTCATTTGTTAGAAAAAACACAGCTTATTAGAATTTTCAGAAAAAATCGAGCAGAAGACTTTGTTTGCTTTAACTTTTCAATGCACACTCATTTTTGACATAAAAAAACCAATCCGAAGATTGGTTTTATGCAGCAGCATTTGATTAATTTGAAGCAAGCTGTGCTGAGCTAGACAAAAGCGCTTGTTTAGCATTTTCTTGGCTTACAGGAGAAAGCGCTGGATTTGAAGCCACAATACGATTCACCGTTGCTGCATTTACAGGAGCAATAGCAGCCGTTTGCAGAACTACTGGGCGTTGATTTGGGTTGGCAAAGGTATAACGAATCCCTGTACGCGGACTTTGTACCGTAATATTGCCATTGGCTTGTGCCGCAGGTGCTGTGGTTGCACCGCGCGCTTGTTGAACTTTAGCTGCGGTAGTGGTATCTGCAAATGCAAAAGTTGGAAGCGCTAAAGCTACAATCATGATTGGTTTTAATACTTTTTTCATTGTCTTTCCACTTTAGAGGTTTAGATGATGAGCAACTAAATAGCATTTAATGCCTAACACTGCAAATGCTATTCACATTATGCAACGCTTTAGCTGTAATCAGAATCGTATTTGGATTGATCTTAACGTCAATTTTTTAGCCATATCAATAAAAAGCAGAACCGAAGTTCTGCTTTTTCACTCGTTCACAGTTTAGATTTTACCGTGACACTGTTTGTATTTTAAGCCTGAACCACATGGGCAAGGCGCGTTACGACTCGCAGGTGCAGCAAACTCTTCTACTGGCTCGTACTGTGCATCTACTTCTGCGAAGTGGCTTTGATCATCGGCCAACAAACCATCAAAGTCTGCATGCGACAAGTTCAATTGCATCGCTTCAGCTTGAGCTTGCTTTTGAGCTTCCATTTCAGCCAGCTCTTCAGCCGTTGGTACATGTACGCGAGATAAATCGGTCACAACATCCGATTTGATAATCGCCAACATATTTACAAATAAGTTATACGCTTCTTTTTTGTATTCTTGCTCAGGATTTTTCTGTGCATAACCACGTAAGTGAATGCCTTGACGTAAATAATCCATCGCCGCCAAGTGATCTTTCCAGTGACGATCCAGCGAGTTCAACATGAAGTGACGCTCAAGCATAACTGCTGTTTCATCACCCATTTGCTCACGGCGGCTACGGTAGCGCTGTACAACTTCATCAGTAATACGCTCAACTAAAGATTCTTCATCTAAACGACGGTCATCTTCCAACCATTGGTTGATTGGCAAATCAATCGCAAGGTCTTCACGTAACGCTTTTTCAAGCCCATCAATATCCCATTGGTCATGAATTGACTCAGGTGGGATATAGTTAGAAATCACGCCTTTCATCACATCACGTTGCATCTCTTCGATGTAATCTTGCAATGTACTTTCAGCCAAAACTTCATCACGTTGCGAGTAAATAATTTTACGCTGTTCGTTGTTGACGTCATCGTATTTCAATAAGTTCTTACGAATATCGAAGTTACGTGCTTCAACTTTACGCTGCGCATTTTCAATCGAACGTGACACCATTTTATGCTCAATGGCTTCGTCTTCTTGTAAGCCCATCGCACGCATCATGCCCACAACACGATCACCCGCAAAGATACGCATTAAGTCATCTTCAAGTGACAAGTAGAAACGTGACACACCTGGGTCACCCTGACGACCTGCACGACCACGAAGCTGGTTATCAATACGACGTGATTCGTGACGCTCAGAACCAATGATGTGTAAGCCACCAGAACTTAATACCATTTCATGGCTTTGTTCCCATTCGGCTTTTAAGCGCGTTTCATCTTCAGGGGTTGGGTTTTCAATTTTTGCCAGTAAAGCTTTCCAGTTACCACCAAGCAGAATGTCTGTACCACGACCTGCCATATTGGTTGCAATAGTTACTGCACGCGGTGCACCCGCTTGTGCAATGATATCTGCTTCACGTTCGTGTTGTTTTGCGTTCAACACTTCATGCTGAATGCCTGCTTCTTTCAATTTATCCGAGAGAATCTCAGAAGCTTCAATGGTTGCTGTACCAATCAAAATTGGGGCTACACCAGACTCATGTACGCGTTGAATTTCTTGAATAATCGCGTTGTATTTACCATTACGATTTAAATAGATTAAATCGTTTTGGTCGAGACGAACCATTGGACGGTGTGTCGGAATGATGACTACATCTAGACCATAAATTTCTTTCATTTCCGCTGCTTCAGTATCGGCAGTACCGGTCATACCCGAAAGCTTTTTGTATAGACGGAAATAGTTCTGGAAGGTTGTGGTTGCAAGCGTTTGGTTTTCAGGCTGGATTTCTAAGCCTTCTTTTGCTTCAACTGCTTGGTGTAAACCTTCAGACCAGCGACGACCTGGCATGGTACGTCCTGTGTTTTCATCGACAATGATCACTTCACCATCATTGATGATGTAATGCACATTGCGTTGATACAAGTAATGCGCACGAATGGCAGCAGTAACATGATGAACTAGGTTTAGGTTGGTCGATGAATACAGGCTTTCACCTTCAGCCAACAAGCCCATTTCAATCAGTTCATTTTCAACCGTTTCAAAACCAATTTCTGTCATTTCAACAGAACGTTGTTTTTCATCAATCCAGAAATGACCACCATCCGCCACTTTTTCTTCTTTCTGCGCATGCAGTTTGGGCGGAATACTGTTAATTGCGGCATACAACTGCGAAGAATCATCACTTTGCCCTGAAATAATCAAAGGCGTACGCGCTTCATCAATTAAGATCGAATCGACTTCATCGATGATGGCATAGATCAAACCACGTTGTTTTTTCTCAGCAAGCGAGAACACCATGTTGTCACGTAGATAGTCAAAGCCAAATTCGTTGTTGGTACCGTAGGTAATATCGGCACGATAGGCTTCAGCTTTCTCTGTTGGATCTTGCATGGAATAGATAATCCCGATGCTTAAACCCAAGAATTCAAATAGCGGACGGTTTAATTCAGCATCACGCTGTGCCAAGTAGTCATTCACGGTAATGACGTGAACACCTTGAGCACTAATCGCGTTTAAATAACACGCCAAGGTACCCATCAGGGTTTTACCTTCACCTGTACGCATCTCCGCAATTTTACCTTCGTGTAAGGTAATACCACCGATCAACTGTACATCGTAATGACGCATGCCCATTACACGCTTAGCTGCTTCACGGCAGACGGCAAATGCTTCTGGGAGTAATTTATCGAGGCTTTCGCCCTTGTTATATCGTTGTTTAAATTCTTCAGTTTTTGCAGATAAGTCTGCATCGCCAAGAGCGGATATCGTCGGCTCGAGCGCATTAATCTTGTCTACGATTTTACGCATGCGTTTGAGTTCGCGCTCATTTTTGGTACCGAAGATTCCTCCGATCAGACTTGCCAACATGAATAGACTCTCTAAATCTTGCTTGTCAAATGAATATGTTTTCTTAGTCGTTATTATGGTGCTAGAAATTTGAAGTACAAGGGCTTTACACAAAACCATTTAAAAAATCTATTCATTGTTTCTAGCCCGTCGAATCTAAGGCAAACTAATGTAACAAATTTTAAACAGCCGACATAGAGATTTCATCCGAACTCATCAGGATTCAACAGTCTTTTTTAAAGTAGCGACTTTAATTGTTTGCAGTTATTCAAGGTTTTGCTTTCAAGCGCTTGATTTTCCCGCAGCGAGGCTTTCACCCCGTTGTTGGGCAACTTTGGATTCATGCTCTGTAGAAAACCCAAGAGTTGTTCATCATTGACTCGCATTGCGGTAAGAATCGGAACAAGCTGTACACAAGCAACTTGATAAATATTATTCGCATTCTGACCTCGAGCTAACTCCTGTTCAAGAGCTTGAGACAGTGCCACTTTCCGCTGTGTAAGGCTTTTTTGAGACGCTAGATATTGATCTGTAATTTGTTGTGGCGTTTGACGAGCAGTACTCACTTGGGCTTGTTTCAATTGCCCAC